TAAACATGCACTGTTAAAAAAAAACACCAATATTTTCTCTAATTTATTTTTAAAAAATATATATCATGTTATCATCCAATAAAAATTATGGACCACGAGAACCACAATTTCTTAAATAGAAAACAATATCTCGTTTTTTTTGTGAAGAGAAAATGTTTAGAAACAATAAATAGTGTGCACTTTCTAATTAACATGTCTTGAAATGTTTAGAAACAATAAATCGAAATAATAAATTTATTAAATCATGAGGATAAATGATTATTACATCCTAATTAGAAATCAGAACTACATTTCAAGACAAGGTATAAATTGCATTACTTAATATTTGGAAATCATAAAATTATGAACTGCTCAGTTAGTAAAACACAGTACTTTAGATAGACTGTTACTATGGTTGCAAATAAATACTAGTATGGAAAAATATGGACAAACTCATGAAATTCATCACAGGTAGGGCCTAAATTTTGTAATTCCCAGAGCCTATCAAGCAAAAGAAAAGAAAAAAACTCAAAGGCTGCAACTTTCCCTAAATTCATTGAAAAATCAAAAGTGTTAATTATGATATTCTTGTCTTGGAAATAGCTAATCTCCAAATCAGTTCAAATACAGATTGTTTCTCCGTCAATTATATTGAAACATTAGATTAACCTTTTCTAATAAATCCATTAATCATGAAATCATATTGTTAGATGAGTTTATAAAATCATTAATTTGCACAACAAAATTAAATTATGTACCAAAAAATTAGACATCGGAATAAAAGAATGTATACAATCATGACTTGAGTTGTAATTGTTGTTAGAATGGAAACCTTTTTTGTTTAAGAAGAAAATGTTTAGAGGGAAACTTAATGATGGACTTCAAAATAGAATAATTGCAATTCATGAAAGAAGTTCTCTAAAGCGGAAGCATCAATTGTGCCTTTTCCATTATATATAATGAAATGGAAAAAAAACAAGTAAATTAGATTAGAAACGAAAACGCCTAATTCATGATTTTTAATTGCGATATTCTGTACTGTTCTACAATGCAC